GGACATATCTAAAAATTGGAACAATACAGAGAAGATTAGCATGGCCACCTGCGCAAGGATGACACGCTATAAAAGAAAGCACAACAATTTTTTTTGCACCCTCCCGCGCGGTGGCATTTTTTTCGCCACGGCGTCCGGCGCACCTTGGTGCACGGAGGCCCGCACATCCCGCCCCCCCCCGGGGGAGCCAGATCGCCACGATCTGGCGGCGCCCGGGAAGCACCGCGCCCCGGGCAGGACTTGCCGGCGCGCGGGGTGGTGGCCGCCCTGTGCCCACCCGGGCGCGACCCTGCACGAGCAGCTCTCCCTCTGGCGGCGGGCTGCCGGCTGCCCTGGCCGGCTGGGCCTCGCCCCGGCCCGGAGACGGCGGGCGGACGCCATGTGCTGCCCCCAGGCCGTAAGCCCGTCTCACTGTCCTCCCTCTTCCGGCCTGCGTCGGGTCGTGCCTGGCTCAGGCCGTGCCTGCGTCGGGTCGTGCTTGACTCAGGCCATGCCTGCCCCGGGTCGTGCCTGCCTTGCCCCCTCTCCTCGCCCCTCCGCCCTTCCCCCCGCCCGCGCGTGTGCACCCGACCGGACGGACACAGAAAGCACCACACCCAAGGGGGGGGGGGGCATATGTGCGCACTGGGTGCTTGTATGTATTTGTCTTGTGAGGAGGGGCTCTCGCGTGTGCTCCCCTCCCCTTGAGACCCTTCTCCTGGACACGCGGAAGGGGGAACTCGGGCCGCGGCCAGGAAAAGAGCGAACAAGCAGGGGACCGGGGAGGCAAGAGAGAGAGAGAGAAAGCAGGAAACCCAGGCAAGGGGAGAGGGGCCCCACAGCGCGGCCATACTACTGGGCCTTGGTGGGGTCCTTCTCGGCGCCGGCCGCCGGCATGGTCTTGCGCGCCGGCGGCATGATCAGCGGCATCCACCGGTGCACCCGGGCCATGTAGGCCTCATACTGACCGGGGAACATGCGGCACAGGTGGAACTCCTCGTCGACGATGCGGCTGGCGAAGAAGGCCTGCAGGGCCACCAGGTACGCCACCAGGCCGATGGGGTTCCCCAGGAGCAGCTGCGTGCCGATGCTGAACCAGTAGAAGCCGAAGTAGCTCGGGTGCCGGATGATGGCATACAGGCCCTTGGTGACCAGGGTGTGATCGGACCGGCGCTCGGACTGGACAAAGTGATTGAAAGACCGGCCGGCCTCCCACATGGCCCGCGAGCGGAAGAACTGCCCGGCCACCACCAGCACCAGGCCGACGGCCCGGACCGGGACCATCCACCCGGCGCGGAGCTTGAAGTCCGGGAAGAGGAAGCACTCGGCCAGGAACTCGAACACCGAGAAGGCGAAGGCCATCTGGTAGGCGACCGTCTGGTTGAGCAGGAAGGCTGGCGCACCGGGCGGGCATTGGGGTTGGGGGGGGCACAGCATGTCAGAGGGGGGCGCGGGAGGGGGCGAGAGGGAGGCAGGGCGCGCACTGTCCATGTTCAGGTCCTTGCCGGACTTGAAGGGGGCCGTCATCAGGTACTCCATCAGATGGAAGAAGGCCACCGCGCCGATGTAGATACCGAATACATTGATGCAGGGGCCTGCTCGAGCGGGGAGAGACGGGGGGGGGGGGGGGACGAGCAAAAGTCAGCGCTCATCGGGCCGGCCACAGGGCGTGCGCATGTCGCCGGGCAGGGCGAGGCGGCGGACGCACCAACAAAGAACCACACCAGGCCGGCACCGGCCACGGCGCCCAGCCACGCAGACCGGAAGGCCACGTTGTAGTAGCTGTGGACGAGGGGCTCGTCGAACAGCAGGATCATGGCGACGGCGAAGGGGGAGGGAACGACGCGGGGAGGGGGCGAAAGATGTGTGTGGGGAGGGGGGGGGGGGGGGACAAGAGGGGCGGATGTGTCTGGCCCGGGCCGCGGGACAAGGCCCAGGCGCGCGGGCTGCACTTAAGAGCGGAGCGGGCTGAGGGAGAGCCTGGCGGCCGGGCGCCCCAGCTCCGCCGTTTGGCCCCTCCCTTCCGCCCGTGTGTCTCCGCCTCGCCCGCGGCGCACGCGCACCCGCACCCGCACATGCACTCACACACATACACATCGCAGCCCGGAGTCCCAATCGGCGGACCACACACACACACACACACACACACACACACACACGCATACACGCAACAGGAGCAGGCATATGCCCTGGCCGCGCCCGCCGAGCAACGGCCCCTTGCCCCCCGAGGAGCGGGCCCCTGCCCAAGGGCGCCGGACCTGCGGGCGGCCACACAGGGGCGAGCACCGTCCCCGAGCGGGGCACGCTTCCGCGGCCGGTCGTCTCCTCGTCGATTGCCCCCGGGCCCGGGAAATGTGTATTCGTCACCGCGGCCGGCCCGGGGCGGGGAGGGCTGCCGACGGACTGGCCACCAGCCGCCCTCCCCCCCCGCCCCCCCGCGAAGGCGCAAGGGAGCAGGGCGCCACACCGCAGCGTCGGCAGTTCGGCAACCAGGCGTAGAGGCTAGGCCCGGCGCCGATCGGGTGGTGCAGAACAAACGGTCGGATCCAAATGCCGCGGAGAATGCCCGCGCCGCGGCCCGCTGCCCGCGCCGGACTCGACCGGCGCCGCCTCCCCGCCCCCCCCCCC